GGCCAGTGGACGTGGATGGAGAGGTTAAATTCTAGTGGAAAGCCAGCCTTTTGGGTCATGGCGTGATCCCAGCAGACACCAAACCGGAACCCTCCCGACGTCTCTCCCTGGGCGAGTCCTTCGCGCCGGAGTCTCCGTGATGTTTTCCTCGGGAAAAGGAAGGTCTTCACTTCTCAAGTGCTCGTTCCCTTTATTTGCATGCGTCAGTGCTCCATGGATGGGAATCTTTTAAATCCAACTCTGCCCCTGTTCTTCCTTGCAGACCAACTCTGCCCCTGTTCTTCCTTGCAGACCACTTTTGTTGTTGACGAAGTGAGCAACATTGTGAAAGAGGTAAGAGGAGACATGCCTACTTTTAAAATACTCGCTCACTGGCTTCTATGAGTGAAAATAATGTGTTTTAAGCACTGTCTTGGAATGGTTTCAGCCGAGCCTGCCTGTGTTTTGGTATTTCAAGTTTTTTAAAAAATATATTTTATTGGTTTTTTACAGAGAGGAGGGGAGAGGGAGAGAGAGTTAGAAACATCTATGAGAGAGAAACATCGATCAGCTGCCTCCTGCACACCTCCTACTGGGGATGTGCCCGCAACCAAGGTACATGCCCTTGATTGGAATCGAACCCAGGACCCTTCAGTCCGCAGGCTGAGGCTCTATCCACTGAGCCAAACCGGTTAGGGCTCAAATTAAGTTTTTAACCTCAGAGAATAGCTAGATAAGAACTACTCCCATATGAGGTAAATTATGTATTTTAAACCAGACAGGAAATTTTATATGTTAGTATTAGTATTGGATGTAACTAAGGCTTGATTCTATAACTTTTAGCATAAAGAGTCATGGTGTACAAGTGACTGTTTCCAACGTTAGTGAAGAGAGTGGATGTAAAAAATTGAACTTCCGGTTACTGCACACCTGGTGGTTCAGTTGGCCCTTGTTTCCTTATTTTTCTTGCATTCCTACACTGCCTGCTTTACCATTACTGACCGTGGTGTTTGCCTTCGATAATGAGAATGGGAGACAAAAAAGGATTCTTGTTCTTCCTTTATTTTAAAAAAAAAGCCGAGGGGCATGCAGGGGACTGATCCTCAGTCGGGGCAGGGAAGGCGGGCGATTGTCCAGGAACAACACTGGGAAGTGGTTGCTGCCACAGCAGCTGGTGCTGGAGGGAGTTTAGAGCTGGACTCGAGTGAGTAGGAGCAGCATGAACTCAGCGAAGAGGACAGTGATGGCGAACCTTTTGAGCTCGGCGTGTCAGCATTTTGAAAAACCCTAACTTAACTCTGGTGCTGTGTCACATATAGAAATTTTTTGATATTTGCAACCATAGTAAAACAAAGATTTTTGATATTTATTTTATATATTTAAATGCCATTTAACAAAGAAAAATCAACCAAAAAAATGAGTTCGCGTGTCATAGGTTCGCCATCACTGGAATAGGGGCCAAGTGCCAGGGCGGGGACGGCACGTGCAGAGGCCCTGTGCGGGGGTGTCTGCAGTGTGTTTGAGGGATGGGAGGGCTGCAGAGAGCTGGGCAGCCTGAGAGAAAGAGCCTCTGTAAGCTGAGCAGATAGTGAAGCCATTGGCTACAAGAAAGTCATTAGTTGATCTGAGTTTAACAGTACCATTGAGGATATGTATGTGATTTGGAACTGATTCTAATCCAAATTATTAATACAAATTATTGACTACTGCCAGAATGATAAAGAACCACAACCTATTTTTGTGAACATCATCAAAAAACAAAATGACTTTGTTCTGCCTTATACATTATTCAGCATTAGGCGTGCTTTTTTTTAGTTGTCTTTTATCTTTTCCAAAATAGTGTTTCTTAGGGAAGGAGTGGGGGGAGCAGGAAGGTGGGTGAATCACACTGAGCCAGTGGGAACTGGAGTTGGTTATGAAGTGTCCTTTGGCCTCCCTCGTCTTCCGCATTAGCTTTGACTTAGTTACCAGGCAGCAGGTAAGAGGAAGGTAGGCTTCCCAGTCTCCCTGGAAGCATGAGGTAATGTTGTGGTGTTGCCTTCACATGGTCACCGGCCTCCACAGCTTTGCTTGGTGATGTACCCTCGGGCTATTCTAAGTATTGGGTAGTAGTAAATTTGGGTGGGTCCAAAATCAGAGACAGGTTTTTCTCTGTCCCTGAAGAACAGTGAACTGGGCCCAAAGTGTGTGTGGAGGGTCCTCAGAGTTAGAAATTTAGCTTGATTATTATCTAGTAATCTGGTCCCATTAAACCAGGGGCTCCTAAGCCCCCAGCCTCGCTTTATGCAGAGCTGGAGGGGGCGGGGGGTGTGGCTGAGAGTGCAAAGGAGCTGTGATAAAATGCTAAAACGCATGGTGGGGAAGAAGCAGGATGCCGAATGATCTTTGTGTAATGTGAGTACTTGGGAGTCCCAGGAGAAGTAGGAATTCTGGTAGATAGAAATGAGGGTGTGACTGTAGGTAGCTTTCTGTTTCTCTAAAGCAAGATCACTGGGCTGTGCCAGGCAGTCAGCCCGTCACCAAGGTGCACAACCAGATCCTGGCACTGTTCTCTCGTGCTCAGGACAGAACCTGATGATCACTGAACACTTTTATTTTAGGTTGTAACTGTCATAAAAACTCAAGTTTTCTGGTTTAAGTCAGAATGTTTCACAATGTTGACAGACCCCCATGTAATTATGAATTCTTAAAAACAAATGTAAAACTTATTTAAATATGATACTATTAAACAAAAGGTGTATTTGATCTCATGGATACAAATAAGCTTACATTGTATGCAAACTGTATTTCAGCAGTTCTTAGGGGATGAACTTGAGTACTAACTGGAAGGTGCTGGGTGCGCTCTGCTGATAGCGACTCCTCTGTGCTTTGTCTTCTAGGCTATAGAAAGTGCCATCGGTGGCAACGCCTATCAGCACAGCAAAGTCAATCAGTGGACCACAAATGTCGTAGAACAAACTTTAAGCCAACTCACCAAGCTGGGAAAACCATTCAAATACATTGGTAATGGATTTGCTTCTCGTATATATGGATGCTGGTTCTTGAAATACTGATGAGAGGCAGGTCTGGTGTCAGAAGAGAGTGGTTGTGTCAGCGTGGTGCCCAACCTTCAAGTTCCCTGTAGAAGTGTCACTTGTGTTGTGCACATTGCTTTACTTTAGGTCATAGCTGGCATCACCTGGCCTAGTTGGCTGCTGGAACAGTTGCAGGGCATGCCCCAGGACTTCAGGTCAGATGCTTGTAGACCAGGTGTGCAGCGAAGGGAAGGGACAGGTGTGGTTTGTCAGTGTCATAGGACCTTAATTTTTATGAGCATCAACCACGTGATCAATATACATGTGCTGAAAGTGGGCAAAAAGAAATGTGTGTTGCCAAGTAGATTTGGCTAATGAAAGTTGTTTTCATTGAAGTGACCTGTATAATTATGCAGAAGAACGGAGCGGGACTACACACGGCGAGTTCTTGCTTCTGGGACAGCTCTACTGACGGTACGGTTCTCAGTCCCTGGGTCAGAGTCTGTCGTGGGCATTTTCCTGAGGTGGTGGTGTCTTGGACCTGCTGAGATCTATTGTCCAAAGCCGAGTGTCCTGAACTGTGTGCGTGGGTGTTTCCTGTCTCTGCATGCATGCTCATTAGAGTTACCTTTAAAGCATTTTATAGAAAAGAGACTTGGCAGCCTTTATGTATGTACCACAAAGAGGTAAGTATCTGAGTGTTGGGGCCAGATAGTGAGACATCAACACGAGGTGGCCCATGTTCCTGACTTTCAGTGCCATCTGCCCACAGGGAGCTGCACCGTGCGATGGGAGAATAAGACCATGTACTGCATCGTCAGCGCCTTCGGACTGTCCATCTGACTGACCACCTCATCCCCCCAGGCTCTTTCTCCTCTGTCTCAACATTTCTCTCCGATCTTCTAACCACCAGCCATGAATTCAGTGAACAGCTGTCCCACTCTGTTTTCTGTGGCTCTCAACACGCAGAGAAAAACCCAATGACCGCACTGTCCTGTGATCAGCACACCCTCAATCACGGATCGTTCTTGGGCAGTCGGAACCTGGACTGCCACGTGTCCGCACTCTGAATATCTCTGTTCAAAGGTGCTAAACACTCAACCTGCTAGTGTGAACCTTTCTCTACTCTCTGAAATCATTCAAACACACTAATTTTTCCATACTTTGTACTTTTGTTAGAATAAATTATTCCAATTTAAAGTTTGTTTTTCTTTAGTCTAAATCAGCAGTGGCCAACCTTTCGGACCTCACGGACCACCGGTTGGTGACTGCTGGTCTAAATAGTATCACAAACAAAATCTTCATATTTAATTAGTGCTTCAGCATCTATAAAACTAAAAAGGAAAACAAAAACAAGCTGCAATTTGGCTTTGGTTCTTTCCAACACACAGACTTGCTAACCCATGGGCCAGGCCCTGACAGCTCCGCTGTGTTCTGGTGAGATCTCTTCTACCTCCATCCTAAGGCTCCCGCTCCTAGAGCTCAGGTGGGAAGTGGGCCCGCTGACTCTGTTCCCTTAGCCAGGAGCTCTAATGCACACACACGGCTCAGATCTGCAGCACTACAGCTTGTACTCCGTGTTCTCATTTCCAGTAGCAGTCACACATACACAAATTTTTTAGTACTTTAGGGCTTGCAAAATGCCTTCACAATCATTCGTTTCTTTATCTACAACAATTAACACCATTATTTATAGAAAATGTGTTTGGAGGTTATTGGCTTGATTTAAAGTTATATCCAAGTAAGTAAGGAGCTGGGACCCAAACCCTGGTCTTGTGACCTCATCTTTGTGCTCATCCTTGGGCCACATTATCTTGGCAATAAAAACACACTCCATGTTCACCTGCTGAAATGAAAAAAACCCTGCTCTTGTCCTGAAAGCACTCCCGTATGAAAGATCAAGTTAACTCCACATGCAAAGAGCAAACCAACGTAATAAAAAAGGATCAAATATTACAAACATACACGTACCAAAAAGGTAGGCTCAGAATGAAGCCACTCCCAAAGTTTGCCATAAATAAACATTTATTCATTTTAACTGATTACAGTGCTCATTCTGTGATCGGGTTTACTGTGCCCACTGACAATTCTAAGATCTAATTCGCAGCTCTACCCTTTCAAGCTTTAACTCTAGTGTGTTTTATTTTACAAATATTTACAGTCTTCTTGTAAAAAGGCAGTTTTCAGTAGCAGAAAAATCCTCTATTTCAGAGTATGGTATAGTTACCAGTATATCTAAAACACGTGAAATCAAGATAAACAGGATAACAAGACGTCACAGACTAAAGCAACTTCCCTTTGGCCTGGGGAAAAGATTTTTTTTTAAAGTCTAACCTCTAAGGCAACTGCCTTCTAAAACCCTTAGAATACCTAAGTATACTTTAGTGTTTGTAGGCATCCCTTTTAATCATCCCTTCGATTGGAGTCTCTGTTGTTCCCCGTGAAAAGGATTCCAGGAAGTAAGTTACTGCCCACATTATAACCTATTTACCATAACTATACCTTTAGTAAATACTTCACAAAATTTAGAGGCTGGTGACATTTGTCTTATAAATCTCCCCATTTAGTGGGCTGGTGTACATAATGTATCTAAGCTTACTACAATCTGTAATCCTATGCAGGACTGACCTTGAATCCACTTTATATATCGCCTTCTCTAGCCTTTCAAATGGGGCTTAAGAGAGAGAGACCACATCACTTCACTGCAGTAATGATTTAATAATAAATCAAGAGGAACTGTTGTCCACAGAGATAATGACAGTCTCCCAAGGAAAACTGAAATACCTGTGGTCATCTTCCAGGTCGCCCTAGACGGGACCAACATAAAAAGTTATCCCAAGATGATGCTATTCAAGCGGTTACCATGGAAGAACTAAAGTTAGCCCTTTGACTTTATAATTTAAATTTGCAAAACTGAGGCTCCAAAGAAAAAATAATTTCTTGCTACTGTTTAAAGTTTCTGGCAGACGTTAGTGTCTTAATCTAACACCTAGGGCACATATGTATATGCTAAATATACTTTAAGCAAAATTTTACATGGAGTATATAATCTATATATATAAAACCCTAAGCGACCGGTTGACTGACCAGTCACTGATGCACATTGACCACCAGGGGGCAGACACTCAAAACAGGAGCTGCCCCCTAGTGGTAAGTGCGCTCCCACAGCAGAAGTGCCACTCAGCTGACTGACGGGCACCAGACACCCATGCTCATGGCTGGCGAGCGCAGCGCAGCTGCGGTGGCAGGCAGCACTACCGAGCTGCGCTGCGAGCTGCGGCAGGCACAGTGGGGCTGAGATGAGCAGGAGTAGTGCAGGGCCCAGCCAGGGCTCGGGCTCCTCCCTGGCTGCCTGCCGCTTCGCACACTACTACATCTCCCAAGGGGTCCCGGATTGCGAGAGGGCGCAGGCCAGGCTGAGGGACCCCACTGGTGCACAAACCCGTGCACCGGGCCCCTAGTATGTTGATATGTATGATACACCAGGAAGGGAAATTGAAAATGCATGATTTGTTTCCCTTAAGGATTTTCTTTTGTAAGTTTTTTCTTGTTTCCAACTTAGTTACACAAAGTAAATAAATATGCCCATGTTGTTCCTTTCCTTAACTTGACACCATGATGAATCAATATATGAAGATATCAGTCATCAGTTTATGGTTACAGTACAGGCCAAAAAAAAGTTCTAAGTTATGTGACTAAATGCCTCAAGTTTACACTTACTGATAAATAACAGTGTTCCAAATTATGGACAATTATTTTATAATTAAAACATAAACTATATCACATACTAGGATACATTTATTAGCACAAGTAAGTTTTGTCAATTTACATAACATTATTTATAGTTAGTCTTAATAGAGGTTGTAAAATTTGGTAACAAAATTTTTCCCAACACTTCTGAGCACACAGAATAAAAAAATGTAACATACCATTGCAAATATAAAAAACCATGTAAACCTGAATTACCCTTGCAGTAATACAGTTGTAATCCAAACATTCATATTTACAGAGCTTTAAAAACATAAATGGAATCCATATTAAAGGTATGTTATCACTGATGTTTAAATTAAAAAGGAAGGTCTGAAGTGATGAGCAGTCCCTCCTGACCTCTAGGCGGTCCCAGCACTGCCCGGAGTGGGCAGTGCTCAGCGTGAGGTGAGCTGAGAGTTCATGCACAGGGGAAGGATGTGCAGGACCTGTTTGCACAGCCAACAGCCATACCCAACCTCTGCATCTGCCAGGAGGCCAATCGGTGTCTGCCACGAGCTGGTTAGCAGTTGGAGACCTTTCTGAGCATGTCACAGCAGAAGCAAGGGGTGTCTACCAGGGTGCTCGGTGGGACAGGAACGGCGGCCGCCAGGGGACTGACTGCCAGGCGAGACATTCCAAACAAGTTACCTTCTACCCAAAGAGGTTCTTCAATAAACCATTCAAAATGCTTTACTTCCTTTCATCTAGTTCCCAATAAGAAACTAAAAAGCTTTTTGGCAGTAAAGAAGTGAGGAGCCATTGAAATGTCACATGTCAATCATTTGTTTAGCTTTTATTAAAAAAATAAAGCTCTACTGGGTGTCCTCATAGCAGAGCTGCAGAAAGTGCTGTTCCTTGGACTTGAACGGACACCTCTTCCTGCCCCAACCACAGGGCCATCCCTCCAGATCCATGGATGTGACCATCATACATACAAATGCACACATATGCACACATATGCACACAACCCCTGGGAGACGTATGGCAGCCAGACCTTTCCCACTAGAGCCGCAACTTGTCAGTTACCTGCTCTTCCCTTGGAGACCCTATCAAACCCTCCTCGAATGCCCCAACACCGTTCTGCCCTGGTGGGTGAAGGGCGGGACCTGCCACCCACCTTCCCCTCCTGAGCCATTACTTCCCATTTCACATTAACAGGAGCTGCCGTCCTGGGAGAGCGCCAGCCACTCACTGGGGAGGGACTGCCCCCGAGAGGCAGCGTGCACACAGGCTTCCCTGGAGTTCAGTCAGAAAACGCACCACGGGCGGGGGAGGGAACGCTGCCGTGCGGTGGGCCTGCAGAAGGGCTCCCCACCAGCGTGGGATTAGTAAATCATCTTAAAGTAAGTACATAATTCTCTCTTCTAAAAACAGGAGTCACTCCCTTCCTACCACTGAAATCTCTGAAAAAGAATTTGGCTGTGTCAGCGCGCCTCTTCCCAAATAAATGCAGCCACCCTAACAAGAAATTTGGCCCAGCGTTCAACTTGGTCCTCAGTTTTGGTTTTCCTCTAAAAAATATGTAAACAAATAAGAACCCGGAAATCTCTGCTAGAAGACAAGTCGCACACAGGCAGGTGAGGGAGGGCAGGTGCGGAGGGCAGGAGGCCACTGCAGGACAGGCCCCCACGTCTGCCCTCCCAGGGGCTCAGTCGCTCTCAGACTCCTCCTTGTACTGGGCCCGAATGGCCTGGCCGTTCTGCAGGGGCATCTCTTCATAGTCACTCCTGTTATAAAAGAGACCTTCGCTACTAATACGCTTGGGGTGGCTTCTCTCCCGCAACGACACGCCATTCTAACAAGATCTCATAGCTTCACTCGCTCCCTTTCTATCGCCAACTGAAAGCGCCCACTCCACACCCCCACCATCACCAGGGCCCACCATCCAGAAAGCACTGGCCTCCTGTGGTCACCACTGGCTGGGTGTCGAGTAAACAGAACACCATTCAATCTCAGCCAGGATAACGTGGAAGCAAAACCACGTGACACCGCCAGCTATAGCACGTGCTAGGACACCCTGAAAATCATCTGAGGCTGACTGACACCTGCTCGGTACGCGCACGCAGGCCCAGGCTGAGTGCCCCGGGACAGCCGTCAGGTGTCGTGCACTCACCCGTAGATGACATCGTCGTCCGAGTCGTTGAGCATGGAGAAGGCAGGGTTGTCTTTCAGCTGCGACTCTGAAAACAACCAGAGCATTTTCTAGGGCATTAGCCCGGAGAGGATGCCGTCCTAGGACGGGCTGAACAGAGCTGGGTTCAAGCCCAGCTTCCACCACTACTATCTGTGGGAGCGGGACAGTGTTCTGTGCCCCGAGCGTGTTTCTCACCTGCCCGCCAGGGCAGCAGCACTGCTGGGCACCCGGGAGCCCACAAGTGGAGGGCGCTGCCTCCCTCCCGGTCCTTCCCCTAAGTCAGTGGTTCTCAACCTTGGCTGCACATTAGAATCACCTGGGATTCTTTTTAAAATCCCGATTTCTGGGCCTCATCCTCCGGAAATTCCGTTTCTTTGTTATGGGGTGGGGCCACAACATTAGTAACAAAGAAACAGAATTTCCGGAGGATGAGGCCCAGAAATCAGGATTTTAAAGATTCCCAGGTGATTCTAATGTGCAGCCAAGGTTGAGAACCCCTGCCCTAAGTGCACAGGGAGCAGGAGGACCGCCTGCCCTCCCCTCCGTCCCTGGGCCTGCAGCAAACGGGCCCAGCTGCACTTTTCTCTACAGCTGCTGTGAAGCTCAAACAAGCCTCTTCACGGAGATGCTTTGAGAACTCACGGGATATAAGAGTCAGGAGTGGTCCTGACAAGCTAGGCCAGCCGTGGGCAAACTACGGCCCGCGGGCCGGATCCGGCCCGTTTGAAATGAATAAAACTAAAAAAAAAAAAAGACCGTACCCTTTTATGTAATGATGTTTACTTTGAATTTATATTAGTTCACACAAACACTCCATCCATGCTTTTGTTCCGGCCCTCCGGTCCAGTTTAAGAACCCATTGTGGCCCTCGAGTCAAAAAGTTTGCCCACCCCTGCGCTAGGCCCTGCCCCGGTTCCAGAAAGCTCTCGTCGTGTCCACTCCCATGGGCCGGCTGCCCTTGGCTCTGCTTCCCGGGAGGAGGGCTGTACAATGTTTCTCTCTCCTGGGGGTCATGGCACTAGCATTCAACAGACTATGGCCTGTGGCAGGCGGACAGGACGCTCGTGCTGGGACCTCACACACGCTTTTCACCTTGTGCTTGACCACACACAGCTGCCGTGTTCTGAGTCGCAGAGCTCACACTTAAAGGGACCTCCTCTCTCTCTGCTAGGGAAGGAGGGAAAGCCGGGAGATGGGCCCTGAACTTCCAGCGTCTGACCCGGCGGCTTACCGTACAGGGCGGTCTTCGATGGAGAGTACACGAAGGCGAGCGTGTAGAGGTAAAAGTTCAACAAGCCATAGAAAGATAAGAACTCAGCTGGTGGCACCGTCAAGGGAAGCAAGCAGACCTGGAACGCTCCACATCGGGCGGTGGTTGGGTCGGGCCTGTGCTGTCAGTCTGTCTGCTCCTTACCCACCAGCCCTTTCTGCCACTGACCGCCAGTACCTGGGCCCCCTAACCCAGACCTTGGCCACCACAGGACAAGCCCATGGCCAGAGGTTACAGCAACCTTTCAAGGTTACCTGCAAGGAACAGGTTACCCCCGGAACCTCCGAGGAGGCAGGACCCGTGACCCAGGGAAGGGCGGGAAGGCCACTCGGGTGAATCAAGAATGAAATGGAGAGGTGGAAACAGCCCTCAAATCAGTCATTCTTACCCCTTTTCTGGATGACAGACGCTTTGAGAAGCTGATAAAAGTGTAGTGTGAAATTCAGTCACAAATATCGAGTGGGAAACACACCTAGCCTCACGCACCTGACAGTTCCCTGCGGAGGCGCGGCCGCGGGCACCCACGGGCACCCACGCAGGAACGCAAGGAGGCCTCGCAGGTTACAAGCCCTCCCTGGAGACAGGTTCAAACTGTCTCATTACCAACCACACGGACTGCAGCTGGAGGCCTCTGGGTGGTGGTGAGAGAGGCCAGGAGTGGCTTGAATCCACCTGGTGACTGGGGCTGACTTCAGCCTGCGAGCCTGAGCTGCAGGGCCAGGCAGGCGCACCTCTCTGCAGACGGAGCGGGACCCCAGGCGCCCCAGGCAGTACAGGCCCAGAAGGTGACCTGCCTCTTAGTGGTGCTCAGAGACATGACTGCTAACCACTCCATCTAGAAGCACTGAGCCCAAGGAAAAGGATATAATTCTGGTAGTGAGTTGACAGCTCAGCTACAAAATTGTCTTGTAATACTTGTGCTCCGAACCTTAAGTAAAGGATGATGATGCTGGAAAAAAGGAGGGAAATATGTAAGATACAGGAAGAAACAGCACTAGCCTCGTGTAAGTTGTTGTATTCGCCCTATTAACAGATGCAGTCTCATCACTACTGTTTCTGCATGGAAACTTGTCCCCTGCCGCGAGGGTGTGGCCTCAGGTGCAGGGGCCAGCTGCTGGGACAGTCAGCTAACCCTGACGTTGGCCATGGCACGGTCTTGAATCGGGGCCTTGGAGGTCACCTTCAGCACATCCCCTCCTCCTCTCACTCCCTGGGACCCCACGAGATCTCCTAATGACCGGCTCCCCGAGGAACGTCGGCTCCTCCATAATCACGTCCCTGGGCAGTGATTCCCTGTCAGACACCTGCCCTGACAAGTGGCAACAGAGGTTCTGCTAAGGTGAGCCCCACAGCCAGGCTCTGCCCCGAAGCACCCCGATCCTCCGCCCCTCGCCTGCCTTCCCCCTTCCCTCCCCTTCCCCTCCCCTCCGTGGGCTCCATTCTCCACACGCAGCCCAGCCGGACAATTGTTAACGAAAGTGTAAATCAGGTCCCTTCGCCTGTGGCCTCAGACCCTCCAAGGGGCCAGTGCTCTCTGAGCTGCAGAGCACATCTGATGGGAGGATGCCAGTGAACCGTCACAGGGGAGAAAAGACACCACAAGAGTAAGATTAACATGCACAGTTTGCTTCTTTGAGAAATAAAGTTTTCTTACCTAATGACAAGCACTACAAAAGTCAACGCAGTCAAAAATTTTAACCTGAGATCTGAAAAAGAAAGGAACACCCCCATGAAACCCCCTGGAAGTACATTCCACTTCCGTCTCGCCCGGAAATAAAGCGAAGCCCTGCACAAGAGCCCTCTTCCCTCCGATCTGAAACCTGCTAGTGCCGAGCCAGGAGGAATGCTGGGGCGAGAAGGCAGGCCCAGCGAGGCCATGGCCACATGACTTGTAACAGATCGGGGAAAGGACCCCACGAGATCGGTGACTTCCCGACTCAAGGACTAAGAAACCGCCCCAGCCGGGCCCTCCGCAAGGTGCCTGCTGGAAGGATCCAGGCAGCTCCAACCCACGCTCTCCCAGGGCCCAGCTCGCTTCCAGCCCACAGGCCTCCCCCAGCCGAGGCTCCGTCCCCATGGCCCAGAGTGACCCATTCAGCCGTCTGGCTCCCCGGGACCCTCTGGATCTTCCCCCTCCAGGTCGTGGGTCTGGAGCTTTACTCAGCTTCCTGGAAGTCTGACCAGTGTTTCCTTGGTAACAGGAGCCTGACCACCTCGCACTGGGCACTTGTGAAGTGGCGCTCACCTACGTAAGGCATGTGTCGCAGCTCCGAGCAGGCCCGCACGACCAGGAACAAAAGGTATAGGACATACACAGCAGCCACCACCATGAAGAAAACCTTCATTCCCTGGAACACAACAACACGGCACTGGAGTAGGAGCAGGTCTTTCGGCTTCGCCTTCCAACCGCAGGAGGAAAGGACCTGGAGCCCTGAAGGTCGCCCCACAACACAGAACAGGAGCGCTCCCGCCGCTCCGACTGTCCCTGCCCAGGCTCAGCCCTCGCCCTCTCTGAGCGCAGTGGCCCCACGAGGACCCAGCCCTTGCTGACCAGCTGAGGGAGCACCCAGACTCCTTCCCTTCCACGCGGCAAGCCCCGCACACACAGGGCTGGACGCAGCGGCGCTCAGCAGATGTCAGCGGTCCTACTTCTGCCCTCTGGATGGAGGCCTGGCTGCCTGCCCTGCCTACAAAGGTCATGGCACGTGTCAAAGACAGACAGAATCCCTCAGGCAACTCTCATCTCTCTGGACCTGGGTTTCTTATCTGTGAAATGGGGCGGAAGGAAGTCGTCTAGAAGACGTTAGGTCTAATCCACAATTCTGTAGTTTTGTTGCAGGAAAAACAAGAACACTTTGTTTTGAGGTTAGAAGCTGCGGTGGGGAGGCAGGCGGTGAGGCCTGGCTCCGCAGGGTGGGTGGTGCTGCTCCTCCTCCAGCTCTAAGCCCCCACCCCCACCCCCGCATCCCTGCCCTTTCCTCTCAGGGCCAGCACCCCCCACCCCCAGGTCAAAGGCCTGCCTAGTCAGGAGGCCAGGGGGCTGCTCTGCCTCGTCAGAACTCTGACTTTCGTCTGGGCTTCATTTTCTTGTCCGTAACATAAAGGGATTCCACGAGATCGGTCGTGGGTCTGGAGCTTTACTCAGCTTCCTGGAAGTCTGACCAGTGTTTCCTTGGTAACAGGAGCCTGCCTGACGCCGTCTCCCTGCTGGGCATGCCGTCCCCACGTGACCCGGGAACAGTGGCTTCCCTGGCCCAGAACGCCTCCCCACTCCAGCTCAAGGTGCTGCTCTCCCCATACACTTCTAACGTGTCCGAAGGCTGATTCAATGACAGAAAAAGGACAAAGCAAAGATGCCACCACCCTCGTCCCTTGGGCCCACCGTCCACAGGTGGGCACTGAACCCTCAGCAATCCGGTCTCTACTTCTGTGCTTTTCTCCCTCACAAGGTCACCTGTCCTCGAGGGCAAAGGTCATGGCATGCTGTTCATAAGGCTTACATTCAGTGACCTTCAGAACTCCTCACACTGATCCATTATTGACGGGAAAGGCCACTGGCACCCCCACTGGGTTCGAGTGAAGAATCAGATACTCACACTCGTTCCTTCGAGTCTCCACACAGGTTTGCCACCTTTCCCACGGCATCACCCACTAAACTGCCCTCTTTCTCTGCGGCCACTCCCACAAAGAGCCCCGGCGTTACGGCTTCACAGGAAGCTCTGGAGGGAGTGCGCCCAGAGACATGCTAATGCCACCCAAGGTCAGCTTCGGCTCCGTGCCCCTGGGACACACGACTCGGGGACTCTTAGAGGCGCCAGCACGTGGAGCCGAGAGGACACCACCCGGGCTGACCGTGAAAGTGAAAATGCGTGGGCCCTGGTTCGAAGAGGAAAGATCTCAGGACGGCGCCTCCCGGAGCCGGGCCCTGTGCTCCGGGCCCTGCCGCCACTCTCCCGCTGGAAACCTCCGCATGAGAGAACAAATGAACAGAACCTTTCCTTAGTTGTCCCACGGTGTCCCTACAGTCAGACACTTTCTGGCCCTGGAGCTTCAGCCATAAGCCAAGGACCGGGAGTAACAGCATAGCTTTTAAAGAGTTATTTTTCAGACTACTCAAGCACATTTTTCAAAATTTTCCACATGAATTTCCTATAGTCCTTCCCAAATAGCCGGTAGCAAGTCTGTGTCAACAGCACAATTTAAATTACAAAATTCAGTCATTTTTAAAAAATGGCATTTAAAAAAAATCCGCAGGCTTCATTAACAATCCTTACCTGAAAATTTCCTGTGTCAACGCGATACTGGTACATTGGATCATGCAATTCATTAACTCTAAAAATATGTTATAAGAAACCATAGATTAATAATTAGTTCACTTTTTATTTTTATACTTTCACTTAGATGAAGGCTTTTGAAAAAGTAATCCTAAATTTCTGAGGAATCCTAACTCTCATGTAGACAATGCAGATGATGCTGCTAGCATCACTGTCCACAGTATCACCATGGGAAAGTTGGAGTGTTTTTCGTTTCAAAAACCCCTATACTATTATTACTCTTGCAATTTTTTTATATATATTTTATTAATTTTTTACAGAGAGGAAGGAAGAGAGATAGAGAGTTAGAAACATCGATGAGAGAGAAACATCGATCAGCTGCCTCCTGCACATCTCCCACTGGGGATGTGCCCGCAACCCAGGTACATGCCCTTGACCGGAATCGAACCTGGGACCCCTCAGTCCGCAGGCCGACGCTCTATCCACTGAGCCAAACCGGTTTCGGCTCTCTTGCAATTTTAAGAGCTGTTTCCAGGCACTTTTCAGTGATAAATGGGCACAAGGAAGCAGATGAGTCCACACAAAAAGCAGTAAAGTAACTGTAAACTCCCTGCATCACTGGAAAGTGAAACCGGGTCGCTGGAATGACGGGCGGGCAGGGAGAGGGAGGGGAGAAAGTGTGAGCTATGAAGTCTCATGTGCGAGGTGCCTAAATGGAACTAGTTTCTGCAGAAAACCCACAGGCTTCTGCAGTGGTACAATTCTACAGAAGCACAGAAATACTTAGAAACATGGGAAGTTTTCAGGTTGCAGCCAAAGGAGCAGCTAAGACACCTGGTGGGCGTGGCGAGCCAGGCGTGACCTGAGCGCCACGCCTACAGATGACGCCTTGGCCTCTCCGGAGGAGGACTCCAGAAGGACATGCCTCTTCCCTTTCCCATCCCAGGTTAGAAGAATCGTGGATCTCTCCACATGCCATTCTAGCAAAATGGAATCCTCAGGTCAAGTCGCCCTACTGAGTCTTGAGACTCTGGGCGACAGATTCCTTTCCGGATGCTGCACAGCACACAGTCAGACTTCAGATCCATCCACATGCCAGCTGCTGTCCAGGACAAGTTTCACGCGTTATAAAAATACTCACGTCTGCCATATTCCTAGTGTGACCGAAGCCAACCACAGGAGTCCGACAATGCAGAATTTAGGCAAATAGAAGGTTAAACACTTCCTTTCTCCCTAAAAAGCAAAAAAGAGTAAGAAATAGAGAAGTTAGTAATTCAGCAAACCACTAACCCTAAGAGGGCGCACTGGGTCGCACACACTGCGACCATTTCTGCATGGGTGCATGCTTCTCTTGACCGCAAGGCTGGAGATAGGCCCCCAAGGCCAAGTTCATCCGGGGATGACCACCAGCGGCCAGCAGGGATGACCACCAGCGGCCAGCAGGGATGACCACCAGCGGCCAGCAGGGATGACCACCAGCGGCCAGCAGGGATGACCACCAGCGGCCGGCAGGGATGACCACCAGCGGCCGGCAGGGATGACCACCAGCGGCTGGCAGGGATGACCTACAGAAGTGGGCAGGGATGACCACCGGAGGCCGGCAGGGATGACCTACGGAGGCCGGCAGGGATGACCACCAGTGGCCGGCAGGCATGGGCAGAGTCCTGGCCCCCGGCAGTGCTAGGGCAGCGGCTCACCTGCACCCGGATCCCGTGGTACACACACAGCCAGAAGAGCAGCAAGGCACACAGGAACAGGGACTGGAAGAGGTCGTCTAGCGTCCCCAGCGCCCAGCTGTTCACCAGGAAGGAGAGGGGGAAGAACGGGTCTGCAAGCAGAGGCAGGGATAGAAGCGGGTACACTAAAGGCCGTTTTGTTTTTCAAAACACCTAAAAGCCAACGAGCAGATGGGCCCTGTGATGGTTACAGAACGCCGCCGTCTGCTCCCGCCACCCGCGCCTCCCACAGGCCCGGGAATCCCGAGGTGCAGCTCTGGGCAAGGGAAGAGGAACAGACGGCAGGGCTCGCAGCCTTCAGCCAAGTCCCAAGGAGGCCGTGTCTGTAGCCCGTCCGAGTTGCAGTCACTCATTTGTGAAAGCTCCAGCATCTTCCGAATCCTTACGGCATCCTTCACATGCTGGGGGCGCTGCTGCCTGTGCCTTCGAGGCATCCCCCTCCTGACTCCCCCCGCCCCACTTAGGGGGACAGACCAGCCCACCTCGCGGATGCCTCCCAGCCCTCCATTCTAAAGGGGAAAGCCCGGAATAAAAGCGCACCTACCGTTGTAAAGTAGCAGCAGAGGCAGGAGAATGGACATCCACTTGTGCTCCATGCCCCAGTCCCTCATGGAGAACTTGCGGAGGGAATGTGCGAACAGGCACTGCCAACGGAAGCGGCCTCGTCACTGCGTGCCCGCTCCCGCTGAGCACCGCCATCTCCCAGATCCATGGTCCCGGGCCAGCCAAGAGCTCGCAGTCAGCCCTTGTTGAACTCACTACTGAGACCACCAGTGACAACTGCGCCGAGATGGTAACTGCTGCAAGGGGCCCAGATCGGATGGGCAGGAGGGGAGCGGAGCCACACAGAGAGCTCCCCCGGGCACAGGCCACATGCTCCACGCAAGGCAACATGACAGATGGCACTGGCTCCCAGAGGAAAAGCCAAGGGAACCAGGCCTACACTGAGGTCAGAGGATGTGTTTATATCTTCAAAACCCCCAACGAAGGTGCAGTGGCCTGTGGGAGAAGCCTCTTTGACCTGCTTTACACATCATGCAGTGTGTGAGTTAGGGCCTGGGGTATTTCTGTTTTGTGTTTCCTACAATGTCATACAAGCCAATCACATTCTCGCAATGCGGGCTCCTGGCCGACGGGCATGTCCTCCAGTCTGTCTGTCAGGCCCAGGCCTTTTCTCTCGGGCCTGTTCTCTGGGCCCAGACTGTGCAGCAGAATCCCAGGTACCAGAGATGCTTCCAGAAACAGCAAGGGTTTCTGACTGACCAACTGTAAGTGGTGGTTCCTGCAGTCAGTCACGAAGGAGGCCCTGGGCGTGGCCTGAGACCACAATCCCCTGCTCTGCATATCTGAGTGGCTGGGTCCCGCCCTCTGGACACACCCAGGCCCCAGCCACTGTCGCCTGGCACTCGCCTCACGTCCCCCCACATGCTGTGTCCTGCTGTACACGCCTCGTCTGCAAAGCACCAAGTGTTCCTGGGTGGCACTTGGGGTGGACACCACTGCACAGCTCCCTGAGTCACACGCTCTGCCAGCACAGGGCTGGCAGCCAAGGGGCATGATGCCGCCCTGCAGACGGCGCGGTCACTGCGTGAGGCACACACCCTGCTCCATCTACCCACCCCACCCCACTGGCCGGCCGCCGGGGGGTCACCGGTGTGCGAAGGGTAGGCATTTCCCCCGAAGTCACACTGTGCTGTGGACACTGAGCTCAGATCCCAAACCAGCCCAAAGCCTGCACCTCCAAACCCGCTCATTTGGGCCTCACTCCCGAAAAGCCCAGGATGGAAAGGTGAAAGCCGTGAAAGCCAGGAATGGCTGCCCCTGCACTGAAAGGTCACACAAACCCGGCGCCTTCCTGCCGCACGGATGCGGGTCTGCCTGCAGGTCAGCGCCCTGGGATTAGTGTTCGGATTAGTGTTCCGACACGGACGTCCTTGCCACAGAGACCGCATCACCGCCCGCACTGCGCACCGAGCAGACATGCGGGGCGTACAGTGTGTCAGGCCCGAGGCACGCGTCTCAGAGCTCAGAGAAACTGCCCGTGGGGTCTGCACTTGGATGACCAAACTCACAAACTGCTCTTGTCAGAACCCGGCGTGGCTGTCAGGTGAGCGGTACTTACAGTGACAATGAAGGTGAGCACCACAAAGACGAACCGGAACCAAATTTCCATCTGGGAAAATGCAGGGTCGTAAGTCTTCCACTAAAATGGAAAGTGGGGAAAAATGCACCTGAAAGGAAGTACTCCACAGCGTAGGGCATGCAGCCACACACAGTATGACTGTGAATGTGGGCGAAGACGGACAGGAAATGTCAGGGAGACCGCTCTGTGAAGTATGTGTCTACCCTCCATGATGTACACCTGAAGCTAACACACAATAACACTCAATGTCGGCTGTAGTTGAAAAATGAAATTAAAATAATAAAACACAAAAAAGGAAGTGCACCAGATTATTAATAATAGTTATCTGTAGCCCTAGCTGGTTTGGCTCAGTGGATAGAGTGTCATTCGAGGACTGAGGGTCACAGGTTCAATTCCGGTCAAGGGCATGTACCTCTCAGTTTCAGGCTTGGTCCCCAGCCCATTGAGGCGCATGCGGAAGGCAACTATCGATATGTCTCTCTCACATCAATGTTTCTCTCTGTATGTCTTTCCCCCTCCCTTCCACTCTCTCTAAAAATCAATGGCAAAATATCCTTAGGTGAGGATTTAAAATAAATAAATAAATAATCTCTAGGTATGAGACTGTTAGGTAATTTAAAATGTTCTCTTTCCTTCTACTTTCTTACATGTTCTAAAATTTTAACACATTACATTTTCTTTTAATATCAAAGAACACAGACTTTGAAAATATTAATGACCTAGATCTGAAAATAGTTTTTCATTGGTGTTATACTAATGATGAACCTGGCAGATAAATTAGTCTATAATCATAATAAGAGCATTTGGCTTTTAAATCTCATATAAAAAACAACACTGCCAATCTCTTTATTAGAGAACACCAGCTTTCCACGAAAAGAAACAGATTTTTAAAAAGATGTAAACTGTGAGTAGGTAGGATGTTCTAAAAAAGACTCAATGAAACATAAAAATATGCATCTCAAACCAAATAAGTACCGTGGAGTCAGCCGTAAGTTCATCTCACTCCCGCCAGGTGTGCAGGGAGCTGAGCGGCGGACACAGGCACCACGTGCTGACGTGGGCAGGAGGCAGCCCACCCAGCCTCGGCCACGGCCAGTTCACCCGCAGGCCCAGAGCATGGCACCGGGCCACAGAGCCCACACACAACGCACTGAATTAAAGTCATCTGAGGCGTTTAAAACCCACTTCAGAGCAGAGAGTCTTCGACACTAGATTTAACTCACTTGCCTGACACACTGAAAGGTACACACAGACACACATACTACTGAAGGCACTGGACACGAGGCAATGAAACTAAAAAGGAAATAAGTAAAAGGAAATAAACAGAGTAAAATCGCAGCAAACACTCAGGCTGCAGACCTTTACTCTGACTTCTGAAGAGCCACAGGTCCTTTCCTGGCTCACCCTGTCATTCCGTGAATGGACACGTGGGACAAGGCTGACTTCATGACCTGGTCACTTCTCCCTAATTAAAGCCTACAGGTTTCGGTCCAGTTCCTCCGTTCAGCATTGTTGAGCACCAACTCTGACCGCATATCAGCAAATACAATGTCAAATCTTGTGCAGGCACAGAAATTAAACTTAAAAAAATTAACCAGTAAAATGCCTCCAGGAGCCCAGCCAGTGTAGCTCCGGGGGTTGAGCGTCGACCTATGAACCAGGAGGTCACAATTCAATCCCGGTCAGGGCACATGCCAGACGATTTCACTTATTAATAATTAATATGTATTAATTATTGTATTATTTTCCATATGAACATCAGTAAGTCTACTTTTGCCCCACCTTGTATTGTAATAACTATGTATAGTGAAAACTAAAAAATTCTTTAAAAAAATTTGTGGTTTTCTTGTAACTTTTTAAAACTGTACATGTCTTTCACAGTCTAAAATAACATAACTCCAGTGCCGTGTATTTCAGCCACTCAGCAGAAGAATGGGCGAGAAACGGGGAGCCCGGGAGCCCCTGCGCCAGCCGGCACACTTACTGTGAAGTTCACTTCCTTGAGGGGCAGATCGAGGAGGCCCTCCAATCCCACCGTCACCCTGTACTGCGTGTAGTTCAGGTAGCCCAGGTGCGCCACGATGATTTCTGCACACTTCTGCAAACGCACAGGGAGGAGCTGTGTCTTTAAAGCAAGCAAGCCTCACTCTCCCACCCAGTGACCCATGAAGTGGCACATTTCAACAACAGACGATCACAACGGATCATCTCCAGGGAACTCGCCAGAAGCCCAGAAAAATTCAGATGCCAGCCAACAACCGTTCTTAGAAAGAAAGACCCAAATGGGTATTTTTGGAAACAAAAATGATTTACAGGCCTTAGACTCTACTTTAGATGACTCATCATATGCACCTGCATAAAAAAGTTCAGTGTAACACAACCCTGACATTTCCACAAACACACTCGTGCACAGGGGAGTGTAAGCTAACACACAGCCCATCAGACCCCTCAGCCTCACTTTCCTCCTCGGCCCACTTCTGCAATTGCCCCCAGTGACCCAGCCCCTTCAGGACGTGGTTCTGACCATCTCAGGATCTCCTAGAGCAGTGATTCTCAACCTGTGGGTCACGCCCCCTTTGGGGGTTGAACAACCCTTTCACAGGGGTCGCCTAAGACCATTGGAAAACACATGTATAATTACATATTGTTTTTGTGATTAATCACCTCACGCTTTCCATGCCACCACGCCGTCCTGACGTCGCCTCCTCACTCAGCAGGGACCTGGTCTGACTCCTCTGACTGACAGAATACGGTGCTGACAAAACTAAGAGTGAGGCTCCTTCCCCACTTGGGCCATCGCGTTTCCCATCCCACAGCCACACACTGCACCTGGGGTACCTGCTCAACAACAGGCTGCTCTTCCCAGCAACAGTCCACAGACACACCAGGCAGCAAGTTACACAACAGCAAAAGTAGGTACCACATATACTCAGGGTATGTGCGTGCATGTGAGTGGGTTTGTGTACATGTGTGTGTGTTTGTGCATGGGTGTGCAGGCGTGTGTGTATGTTAATAAGCATTTATAAGGGTATCAGTATATAAAGGTAGATGGTTTTTCCATACCCTCACTGGTATGAGCTTTTTCACTTAAGAAAGCAAGTCTGGCCCTAACCGGTTTGGCTCAGTGGATAGAGCGTCGGCCTGCGGACTCAAGGGTCCCAGGTTCGATTCCGGTCAAGGGCATGTACCTTGGTTGTGGGCACATACCCAGTAGGGAGTGTGCAGGAGGCAGCTGATCGATGTTTCTCTCTCTCATCGATGTTTCTAACTCTCTATCTCTCTCCCTTCCTCTCTGTAAAAAATCAATAAAAAATATATTTAAAAAAAAAGAAAGCAAGTCTGTGATGGTGTGGCATGATGAGTAATCATGGACCGGGGAATGCTCACCTCTCTACACGAGAGGGTCCTTGTCCGATTGTGAACTTTGTTATGAATGAACATGGTGGTTCCATCTCGAGCTACGCCATCCACTTTAACGGTCATAAGGAAGTTTTTCTGAGTAGACATTTCTACAAAAGAAAGAAACTCAGTGTCAGGGACCACGTCAGGCACTCACATTGACAACCATGCCTGCCTGGCTCTATGACAAGCCAGGAGGGTCTCACCCACCTCGGCCTCAGCATCTTCGAGAACCCCTGGCTCGCCAGCAACGTAAAGCCTTCCTATTAGCTCTACGTGCAACCCCTTTCCCAGGGCCCATGCCAAGGCCTGTTTCAGATCCATTAGCTTCATTTCATGAAAGGACAAATAGTTCACAGCTAATGAATTACTTTTCTATCCCACATAATTTTTTAATTTAACTTTATACAAACATAAAAATAGAGTTATTTTTTCTGATTATATAATTTTTCTGATTTCATGCTCATTGTTTTAAAGAATCAGAGAACAAAAAACTATGATGGCCCTAGCTGGCTTGGCTCAGTGGATAGAGCATCAGCCTGCGGACTGAAGGGTCCCAGGTTCGATTCCGGCCAAGGGCACATGTCTGGGTTGCGGGCTCGATCCCCAGTGTGGGGCATGCAGGAGGCAGCCAATCAATGATTCTCTCGCATCATTGATGTTTCTAACTCTCTCTCCTTCTCCCTTCCTCTCTGAAATCAATAAAAATATAAAAAAAAAACAACTATGACGATGGCGTTATACACTATAATCCCCCCTAGAGAGAACCAAGTTAACATGTACACGCCCATCATCCAGACCATTTTCTAGACATACAAATACACAAGGATATCAAATTTATCTTCTTAAAATGTTACAAGAAAAGGAGTTGATTTTTTCTAATATGCATTTTCAAGGTTTTTTTCCAAGTTCCTTCTCAACCAAAGCCCCTCGTGTGAACCACAGAACACTGAGCTCGCGTGGTGGCCCAGCCTCAGTTCTCCGGACGGTCCGCAACTAGTGCCATCGCGGTGAACGGAGCCAATGCCCCGGGCCTGGAGGTGCTCTGGGCAGGTCTTCCAGCCTTGGCACCGCTGGCACTGTGAGGCTGAGGATCCTTTGCTGTGAGGAGCTGGCCTGTGCTTTGTAGGGTGTTCAACAGCAGCCCCGATCCCTACCCACTGGACACCAATAGCGCCCCTTCTCCAGAGTTGTGACATCAAAATGTCACAATGTCTCCAGACACTGCCAAGTGTCCCTGGGGGGCAGACCCACTGCCTTGGGGCATTGGGACTTCATTTTCCCCAGAACCCCACCAAAAAGGCTGCAGTAGCAGCTCCTCCACTGTGCAGCCACCGAGCTGAGCTGACCAGCACTCCCGAGGGGTCACCGACCCTCCCTGGGGGGTGACCTGCCCTCCCCGGGGGGCTGCATCATAACTTAGTGTGGGGGACACCGAGGACACTTAAGGGGCTTCCAATTTGTTGCTTTTATAAAGAATAAAGGCCATCCCTGTAATTCACCTTTGAAAACACTTTAAAAGGTCTGAAAGCTCTTTCAACTTTTACAATATGGTGCTTTGTACAAAGAAAAATCAGACCAAAGGTCAGGCTTCATACCTTTTGATTGATTCAACTCAACAACACATGTCAGCCACAGTTGCTGATTGTATGTAGACAGTGGATTTGAACGTATGTGAATTGGCTTCAACTGAGGGAAAAAGAAAAAAGTTAAGTAACCCATGTGACCTTTCCATTGCAGCTACCAAATACCTCACCTTAACATCCAAAACTGGTATCCAGCCATGAGGGCTGAGCACTGGTGCTGGACCAGAAACAGCACGGTTTCCTTGACAACAGGAGTGAAATCCCGCCCTCCATAAAAAGAAAGGCCTAACTCTGCTACAATTTACATCTGTCTCTCATGAACACCTCCAGGCAGGCATTCCCACCACCCGCAGCCTCGGCACAATACCCATACCAAGAAAAGGCCATCTCGGAGAAAGTTAAAGTGCATGTGATGCGACGTATGATAAGATAATAAGGGTACCAAAGAAGGATGTTCCTAAGAATCTTGATTTAATATCAATATACCAGACATGTCGCTGTCTGACATCTGTTATTCTCAGCTTTAGAAGAGTCTTAACACCCTGGGGGAGAAAAATTAGAGGGGACTCCATTGGCAATGATATTTCTGCGGTGTCTGCTGAAAAACCCAGTACCGGTGTCTACAGCAGCGGCTACGGAGAAAGCTGCTCCCCCCACGCCCCACAGCTCCGAAGAAAAGCAGTTTGCATGCACAGTCTCTGAGAGTGAGCGTGTGCCTTCTGTGTCTTCATGCTCTGGCAGGTCTCCATAAAACCCTGACCAGAGCTGTGCCCAAAAGCCACCTACGAGATGAGATCTCTTGGAGGGTAATCTGGAAACCGAGCATGGAGACCACGTTTTATTGGGCAAATAGGAAGGCCTGCAGACATGAGGAGCCAGGACGAGTCACCAGCCTTTGGAAATGAACTGCTGCTCTCTAAGTGTTAACACCACCAGCCTGTCTCGCACTGAGGCACTTATTATAGCAGAAAACATCATTTTGTCAAATGAGGACCCAGAGGCCAGCCACTGACAGTGTTGGCTGAGAAGCAACCTGCAGGACAAGGTGGGCCATTGCTAGTGACCTGGATGCTTATATGCCCCATCGCCTGCCACTCAGGGACCCAGTCTTACCTTTTTGCTATTATTTAGTGAAAAATGAGCTTCAGAAGTCTGGATCACTTTGGGTCCTAAAGTGTAACAGAAGGAAAAAAGCAGGTTATATCCTACACTGATAATTAATTTATTGACTTTTGTCAAATGCCAAGAAAGACATACATTATATGGCGGTGATCTTATTTTCCTGGTCTGTCATCAGAGGTTGCACATGTATGTAAAACACATAGACACACAACATCCACTCCGCTGCATGGTGACCTCCTGGTGCAGGTGAAGCCCATGATCGTCACACAAGGTACATCATTCCCGAGGTTTTCTGTCCGTGCAGAAACCTCTCCCCTGCCCTCAATGAGGGCTCTCTGCACTGCAGACCCAAGAACACACTCATGACACAGGCAGCATCTACCTACTCTATAAGCATAAAGATTTCTGCCAAAAAATTAAGACATTTGTCTATTCATCCCATTAATCCAGTCTTCCAAAAATATTCAGTAGAGAATATAAAAAAGCATACTTGCTAATATATACTCAAAGCTTTTCCTGAAATAACAGATATGCAACCTTCACAAACTCTTACACTGTAATCTTTTAGGACTTTGGCCTTAAAAGAAGTGATCAAGTCTCTTCAATAAATGGTGTTGGAAAAATTGGACAGGCACATGCAAAAAAATGAAACTAGACCACCAGCTTACACCATACATAAAAATACCCAAAAATGGATCAGAGACTTAAATGTAAGTTGTGAAACCATAAAAATCAAGAAGAAAACACAGACAGTAAAATCTCAGACATCTCATATAGCAATATTTTTACCGATACATCTCCTAGGGCAAGGAAAACAAAGGAAAAAATAAACAAACGGGACCACATCAAACTAAAAAGCTTCTGCACAGCAAAGACACCATCAACAGTAAAAGGGAACCAACTGTTTAGGAAAACATATCTGCCAATGATACATCTGATAAGGGGTTAATTTCCAAAATGTATAATAAACTTACACAATGCAACACCAGGAAGACAAAAAATCCAATTAAAAAAATGGGCAAAGGACCTAAAAATACACTTCTCCAAAGCAGATATACTAATGGCCAAGAGACATATGAAAAAATGCTCAAAGTCACTGATCGCCAGAGAGTTGCAAATTAAAACCACAGGCCCTAGCCGGTTTGGCTCAGTGGATAGAGCGTCAGCCTGAGGACTAAAGGGTCCCGGGCTAGATTCCAGTCAAGGGCACATACCTTGGTTGCAGGCTCCTGGCCCTGGTTGGGGTCACGCGGGAGGCAACCAATCGATGTGTCTCTCTCACATCGGTGTTTCTGTCTGTCTCTCACTCTCCCTTCCACTCTCTCTAGAAATCAATGGGAAAAATGTCCTGGGGAGGATTAAAAAGAAGAGGAAAACAAGATTGGCTACAGTTGCCATTGCCACCATCATCATCTTCAGCAGCAGCAGGCAAAGGGCACTGAAATAATCGCCCTCTCTGCCCAGCTCCCTCAGTCCATTCACCGACCCAAGACTCAGTTTAGGTTAAGAAACCTGTCTTTTGCCGATTTCAGCTTCGAAATTGCCTTTGAAGTGGTCCCATCCAACCCCCTTTCTCAGAGATGGAAAACTGAGGACCAGAAACCCATTTCTCTCCCCCGTCAAACAGCATGCTGGGGGCCGAAAGGCACCCGGGCCCCGAACTCAAGGCCAAAGCCATCTACAGGCTCCCTCCTGCCAAGGGCTCGGGGCATCATCAGAGCAGCCTCATGCTGCCAGCATCTCACGCCCTCCCCACCACTCGCTGCACCATGGCCTGCCTCCCACGCCAGCCAGCAAGCTCTGGATTCCCCAGCGCCCAGGCGGGATCTTGGCACACAAGACTCTCCAGAAATGTTGGACTTCCCAACAAAAGGTACAAGGTCAAGGCCACCCAGGGCTGCACGCTGAACTCAGGCCCTGGCTGCTGTGTGGGGCAGGACCAGGGCCACCCCCTCCACCCAGTGGGTGCAGAGAGAAACGGGCTTCCCCCCTCCATGACAGGCCTTGTTGGGTGAGAGCAGGTGGATACAGCTGGGGGGGGGGGGGGGGGAGCGGGCGGGCTGCACCAAAGGTAACTGTACAGGATAAAATGATCAAAACCTGCACCTACCGCTGATCCCGATGAAGACGGTCAGGCCAAAACAGACGAAGAAGACGACAAACACGAGCACGAAGTGGCGCTTGGAGAGCGTGTACAGCCGCATGGGCGCCAGCCTGCGGAGCAGAAGCCAGTGGGTGGGGGGCAGGCAGGGAGCCGCTCGGACCGCAGGACGCCCTCCTCACCTGCAAGCCCTCACCTCACAATCGGACCTACTCTGAACCCAGGCGACCCACCTGACAAAGCAGTCTCCATGACCTCAGGGCCGGGTGACGTTCCACTCCGCTCGGGGTGAAGCCCGCCGAGAAGAGGCCCTGCCACGCTGGTCGGCACAGCGCCAGCCGAGCCCCACTCCTCGGGGCAGGACAATGTGCTGTGGCACCCATGCCCATTCAGGGCACATTCTGCCACTCCACGTGGGTGGCCAGACCCCTCTACACACATCCCGTCTCCAGCTGCCAGAGGACAGCCCAAGTGGGGGAGGCCCCAAGTCACTCACACGCAAACACGCAGCTTTAACTGTCAGCTGTCACCACCCAGCCCAGACTGGGAACGCAGGTGCCACCAGCATCACCTTCCCTATCTGTCTTCCCGCCAACCCGTTTTGTTTCCTATCCAAGGTTCCTCACGGTCTGAGACCCTCACTGGCGTCACCCATGGTGGTGAAGCTCCGCCTGACCTTCGCTATGGGGTCTGGTTTTGATGCACTGAGCGAGCTGCCTGCAGTTTTCTGTGCTTTCACACCAATATGGAACCCTACCCCTAACACTAACCCTCTCAGGTGCCCTCCTCGTCATCCCTACTTTGTCCCTTGGTCAGGAGACAATGGTGGAGGGGTAAGTGTCACTTCTTTTTAGAACTCCTTCCATCAGCGGCGGGCAAACAAGACAAGTCTGTAAAGGACCAGAAGACAGGTCTGAGGTTTGGCAAGCCACACGGTCTCCAAACAGTGCAGTCCCAGACACCACGTAAACGCCAGTGTGCGAGGCAGTTCCAATCAACCCCATCTGGAGAGTGGCTGACCCCGCCCCTGGGACCTGAAGAGGAGACCCATAAACCCAAAGAGAGGAGAGCGGGAGGGGGGTGCGGACTTGGGGGAGGGGGTGCTTTGCTTTTTACTCCTCTAGCATTTCCTGGTCTCAGGAGCTGAGGCAATTTCTCATGCCTCACAGACAGGTAAAACACACACCTCCGGGAGGGGGAGGGACAGCTTAAACCACCAGCAGAGAATAAGGTTATTTGCTTTTGTGGCACGAGGCTCACGTGGCTCTGTGTACACACACCCTCCCCCTACAAGGCCAAGATTCCAGCTCCTCAGCAGGAAATCAGCTGGAGCCTATTCCAGGGCAAAGGTGGGGCCCACAGCCACCACGGCTCTGACGTGGCTTTGCTGACCCAGGTCCGCTCTCTCCAGCGGGACCTGCCAGGCCTTTGGGCCAGTGACTGCAGACCAGTGTCACAGTGAAGAAATGAAGGAATCAGTGCCTCGATCTTTTCCTTTAGGACTTGGGTCCAAAGGCTGAGCCACATGCAACCCTGCTGTGCGTGAGAAGAGACAACTAACTAGTGGATTCAGTGGCCTGAGCCCATTAGATTTTGGACCCAGAGATTATGAGACCTGAAAGCCCTGAAATATTAGAGCCAGAAAGTGCCTCAGGGAGGAAGCCCAAGCCCTGTGACTTGTATATGGGGAAACTGAGGCCGAGAGACAGCGGGACACTTGCCCAAGATGTCACAGTTTTGGCCCTTGGCAGTAACTGCCGATCCCTAGGGAAGGGCTGAGGGACCCCACTCCCTGAGTGCCCCCGGGAGAGCCTGAGGAATGCAGGCTGGGGAGAACAGGTCTCCTTTGTCCCTTGTCTGCTCCCCCAGGTGCTAAACACATGCCTACACTCTGCAGAGGGGAGAGGTCCGGGCAGCTGCACGGGCCGCTTCACGCTGAAGCCTTCCTCACAGCGCTAAAGGGAGGAGATGCTGGGGGCTGCGGTCAGGAGCTGACAGCACGGCAAGCGCTGAGCCCTGGGTTGTGGTGAGTGCGTGAGGGGAGCGGGGAGAAGGGTGTACAGACACTCCACACCGTCCTGGCCGCTCTCTGTAAATCCAGTTGTTTAAAAAATTATACAAGGTCACACATGGCACCCCATTCTGCGGCTCTCAGGTGACCTGCCCCCCACGGGGCCGAGGCTCCGAGGGGTAGGCTCCCAGCAGACGAGGAAGCACAGAGAGTGCACTTGGCAGCAGAGAAACACTGAGTAGGACGGTGCTGCTTAAATTGTGATTTTTAAAACACATCAATGATGATTATAGAAGCAGTTATTCAGCAGGTGAGGAGGGATGAGGAAGAGACCTGAGGAAGGGAGGGCAGCACAGGCCTCGTCCCACAGTGAACAGCCCACCGGTGTTTCCCGTTTTCCCGAGAGCTCCCGCGGGCTCTGTCACAGTCTATCATTTCCCTTCCTTAAAGCTTCCACTTAAAGTGATTTTATTAGAAAGTTTCCTGGTTCAGAAAATTAGAAATATTAGAAAATCAAGCATCACCCAACTCAGAAAAAAAAACACAGAGAAAGCAAAAAAAAAGCCCCTGCTTGAGAAAATGCCGCCGGCACCACCACCCCACCGACAGGCAGGAACCCTGGCCAGGCACCCTCACTCTGGGAGGGCTGGGTGTCCTGGGCCAAGGAGAGCACCACAGCGCAAATCCAGGTGACGATGCCCCCGGCCATGGTTATGCTCCCCACGGCTTGTCTGAACGCTTTGAAGCATGTCACCAAAAACCAGACTCTGATACCTCAAGGACACTGCCTACTCCAGACAAATGACAGGGCCACACCGTGATTCCAACTTTTCATCTCAGGGCATCAAGAAGGCCTTTGAAGCACAGCGAGACTCGGCCCTCCTCCCTCCTCCGGCCTGGCCTTGCCACCTTCCACGGGTCTCTGCTTCCACCCTTAGCACCCACACTCTGCTCTCCGCCCAGCCACGCCAGGGACAGCCGGGGGTGTTTGTTCTCAGTTCAACTCTTTCCAGTGACTTCCCGGCCACTCGGAGTGACAGCCAAGCCCTTCGTGGACCTGACATGCCTGCTACATGTTTACGGGTGTTTGTTCCTCTGGACAGGACTCTCCCACAACCATGCCACTTCCTTCTAAAGAAGGAACAGGAGCCACGGAGAGGAGGGGTTTTCTCTGGGGCAGGGCAGAAGGTCCCCCGCCACCCGGTCCCCTGCCAGTGAGACCAGCCTCCCATCACAGAGGCTGACTCCCACCTCCCCAGCCTTCATCCCCTCCAGGGCTCAGACCCTGCAGGAAATCGACCAGGCGCTGCAAGAAAAGGCTCCCCTCCCAGTGCAGAGCTGGAGGGCACGGAAGCCTCCTCGCCTCCTGGACCTGACTGTGTACTGAGTGCTGCCCGAGTGGCTGCAGCCACACTGCACGCAGGAGGGTGGAGAGCCCAGAGGCGGAAACCACCCAGTCAACCCCAGAGGTGCCCGGCTCAATTCCTGGATACCCCTGTCATGTAAGCCACTTTTCATGACATATCCTATTAGCATCAAATGCTTCCTATTGATACACACACCCAGACAATAAAACAAAACTAAAATGAAACTCAATCTAAGTCGCACAGGCATGGGAACCCCCTGGTTGAAGGCCCCTGGAATGTGAGGCAGGCGCCAACCACCCCTGTCACCACATAGTGCCATTCCTCCTCCCGCCACCCCTCCCTCCAGCCCGCACCCACCCACCCTTCCCAGCCCAGCCGAGGTCCCACCTCCCACCACTGGGAGAGCAAATGGCTCCTGGGCTGCAGGAAGGGGCACCCACCCGTGGCTGGATTCCATCTTGGGTGACAACCGTTCACACGCTTTCACGCCTCTCCGACGGGGAGCTCCCTGTGGCTCTTGGGGCCCAAAGCTGTACCTTATGAACGGCAGGCGTTCAATAACTATTGACTCCTTCCATTTCTATGCCCTCTTGCCTGGTTTTACTCTGCTCTCCTACGTTCTATTATTTTTCGTGCTATGATCAATTATCAACCACTGAACTGCAAAATTTAACTTTTTTCTCGCAATGTTGTCTTTTAATGTTTTGGGGACTCTGGCCTTTGCCCTCTATGCCGGTGATCTGGCCACTGCAGCTCCAAGCACATGGCTTCCCCAGCAAGCAGCCCTCCAGGCCACATACCCTGCCACACGTGCCCCCTCCCTCTCCTGCAGCTGGACAGCCAGGGCCCAGGAGGATGGCTGAGTGCCCCAGAGCGCCAGAGCCAACATTAGTGTTCCCTCTAAGCACTTCTCCCTCCCACACGGGCCCTTAAGAGTTCATCAAACAGCACTAAGAAGTGGGCAGGCGAGCACGCCGTGAGCCTCCTCATGGGCCTGCAGCAGAATGACCACAAATGGAGAGAACTTGGGTGAGCAGAGGATGCGAGAAAACACCTCCAGGTTGGTCCTTGGGCTCTGTGGGGAGATAGGAGGGCACACCAGCACCCACAGCGCTGCCTTTCACAGACACCAGGGGACAACCAGCACGCAGCAGGGCCAGGAGGCCGAGGGTTTTCTAGTTACTCATTTTGTCCTGTCTCACGGAGTTCCCACTTAAGAATTAAAAATTAGAATCTGGGCAGTGGAAAGGGGCTTTCATTCTCGGGCCCCTCCCATTTTATTTAAGATTTTATTTCTTCTTGTAATCTGTATAATTTCTTCTGTGGCCCAAAGCACTGGCTGGGTGCTGGGTTAAAATCCCAGGCCTCAGTGTCCTTACCTATAATCAGAGACAAACAATACCCAGAGGGCTGTTGGGGGCATGAATGAAATAATGAAGCGCTCAGAACAGTGTAGGGAGCATAGAATTCAATCATGTTAGAAGCAGTAGTAGCTGTGCTTCCCCCCCCACACACACTTTTTCTTTTTTTCATCCTACCAATATCCCTGAGACCCGGTGTAAAACCTTGCCCCTCGAGCTCAGAACCCGGCCAACGGAAGGAAAGGGCAGGAGCAGCTGGCATTCCCTAGGCACCTCCTGGGTACCAGGCAGGCGCTCCTCTGTGAAGCAGGTCTGATCAGCCCATTTTTACAGACAGGGACACAGAGGCTCGGGAGCGATCGCCTGCCGAGGACCCAGGCAGCAGGCAGTGGAGGTGGGATTTGAACGCACACGGTCAGGAGCAGAAAGGTGGCCCACAACTCCCGCACACCCACTCCTTGGCCTTCTCACCAGAGTCTTTCCTTTTCAAACCTGCCATTTATTGGGTTTCGAGAAGAAACTCTGAGGGGAGGAACAGAACAAGAACTCTGACATTTCAATCAACCAACTTGCATATATTACAAATAACTTATCTTTAGCTACTCAGAAAAGCCACTATGCAAGTAGCCAAGGCCCAACAACCTCAAAATGTATTTGAATGAGCAAACCATGAATTCACGTGTATGCCTCCTAGGCTGCAAACCCAGTGTCTCTCGCCCAGGAGCGTGCTGGTTAGGCCACCAATACCCTCGCCAGGGCAAACAGATCAAGGAAGCAGGCCACACACTGGCCAATGCAGGACCACGGGCGGTGCAGCCCAGTGGTTAAGAACTGGGATCTGGAGGCCAACTGCCTGGGCTGGAGGGCCTTCACCACTGACCAGCAGCGTAACCTGGGGCACTCCCTTCATTCTCTGATTCCCAGATTGTAAAAGTGAGGAAGCTAAGGGAGCCCGTCGCCTAGGGTTGCTGTGGCAAATAAACGAGTTACAACATGAAAGCCCTTGCTCAGTCACTGCCACTGTTAATTGAGCGGCAACAGAGTACAATATGTCAGGGGTGGGCTCTGGAGCTGATACCCGGGCTTCAGTCTCAACCCTGCCCCTTACTAGCTGTGAACTTGACTCCCTGACTTCTCT